CTTTATGACCACCTTCTGCTCCGTTTATCCTCCTTAAGAACTCTAATGGCTCTTGGCAGACAGCAGAGACCGTCTCCTACGTTGAACGGCCGTCGTGATCCCTGAAGGATCACCGAACAGTCTAGTGGCCCCCGGTAACCGGTACACGCCGGGAATCTATGGAAATCATTCGGAGATAATCAGATAGACCACCGAAGGACCCCGATCGCTTCTGTAAACCGTCCGAGCTGAAGAGGATGTTGCTTCCCTCGGGCCGCAAACGTTTGCAGAAATAAACGGGCTTACGAGCAGCCGGCAACGCGAACCCGCGGAATCGTTAAAACGATTGTCGTCCCCGTCGAGAGATTAATTGCCCTGTTTTCATTCAGCTTGGCCGCGCAATTGAATATTCTCTTGGAAACAGTTTCGCCGGAAATTAATACTGGCGGTGCGCTTCGGGTACAATGAGAACGTCGAAAGTCTACGGCGCTCTTCTTTCATCCTCGGGACAATAATCGTCGTCCGTCTGTCCGGATGAATGTAATGCTAGGTTTATGAAACGATATATTGAATTTGATGAACATTGTTCGCTGAATGTTTACGTCGATTACGATTGTTCGCGGGGACGCGAGTATATCCTAGTCGTCTATTTTTCAATCTCTAATTTCCGAGATCTAAATGAACGTCCATTCTACTGGCAACAACGGAATGAACCGAACAATAAGCGCCCGTAAATCTAGTGGTAACCGTTTCCGTTCGCTCTTCTCTGGTATTCACGGGTACGCGAGCATATTCCTTGAACTTCAAGGTTCGCGCGAATCGTAAAAATTCTGAAACGAATAGAGGGGGAGAACCGGCCCGCAGGAAATTGCTCGATAATGCCAAAGGAGTTCAGAGTTCGGCCGCGAACTTGGAAGACCGCGCTCCGGCCGAGGTTGGACGCGTCGAAAGAAATGGATCTCGGGAGTCCTTCGCGCGATATTAAATTACTGGCAACGCCTCTTCGACGCGCCTGCCTCTTTGCATTGGAAAGCACCTCGAAGCATCATTTTGTTCCATCGATGTCTGAGTAACAATATCTGTTCGAAAGTTCCGTCGCTGCTTTATTATCGAAGACCGCCTCTGCAGCAGTTCGCTCGCTTCATCGGAACTATACGTGCACCGTTGACACGATAACTTATGGAATATGATCATAAGTTCATCGAAAGCCCAGTGGAGTCCTTATCACGTTCGCCACCGCTGACGTGGATTCACGTCTTTTCGAATATAATAACATTCAATATATTCTATTCTTCTGCTCTAGTTTGCGACTTTCTTGACACGTCGATTACACCTTCGTAACAAAGATAAATAGGAATGATTATTAATCATATCCTACCTCAATTCTTACGTTACCATATTATCTAGTTATCTACGTCATTGAATCTTTTTCTTCGACGTCAGTTATCTTATGAATTATAATTATCTTCAAGTGATTTCGAAGCTCCGATCACCAACGACCACCGTGGCAGTCAACGCTAACGGAGAGTTCGTTTCGACGCGTCCGAATCCTTTTTGTCGAATAAAGAAGAAAGAACGATTGATCGAAATCCGGTTACGGAGGCGCGTCTCTCGGAGTTCCGGGTGGCTCGGCGATTAAACGGCGCAGAAATGATTCAATGATAATTATTCCCCGACGATAGGGCAGGAACAATGGGATTGTGGTATTCGGCTGGCTCCCGGAAAACGAGGATACGTCGATGCGCCTTGCGCGGCAACCTTTGACATTTCGAGAGGACGGGTCGAAGTTTCCACCCTCCTGGCCTAGGTACAACCCGCTTTTCCGGCAGCCAAACATCCGGCCGAGAATCGCGTACAGGGTCGAGGCGAGGTTCTTCTGAAAATTCAAAGGACTCGGCTCTCGGAGACCTAGGGCTCGCAGCAGTTCATATTCCTTTTTTCTCGTTCTTCCCTTCGGTCGGGCATGGAAGGTAGTAATTGGAAAGTTCCTCGGAAATCCTTCGACTCCGAACCAAATTAGGAAGCCGGGACGAGGCAAGAACTGGGTCGACAGAAACTTTTTTCCCTCTGTAGCAAACGGTCCAATTTAAATGTAATTGGACGGCGAATAAAAGGCTCGGAATCACGTTAGCGTGTCCATCGAACCGGACCGTATCGGTCGGACTGCCCCCGCGAAGCAGAAGAATCTCGTTGTTAACGGACCGTCCGAATTTTTTTGTTCCCTCGGACGATCCACCTCGGGAGAGATTTAATACGAGCTTTCAAGCGCGCCTCGTAACTTTTTACGACACCGCCTCCCGGCCTCTGTTCCCCGCGCGCGGCTGCGCTTCTGCCTCTGCGAATATATTAAAAAATGTACTTTTTACTCGACGCGAGAGTGCCGCGTCGGCCGGCGTAAAAGCGAATACCTGGAGGGAACTTGATAAAAATTCTTCGTACGAGGGGAATGCGAAGATGAACGGTGCGGAGGATTTCGCAGGAATGTTTCACGGCGGCGGGACGCGCAACGAATCGCGCGAGGCGGAGGAAGAATGTTATAGTCGCTCAAAGGAGGCGATGCGTTCGTTCAGATAATTGCGCGAGGTTCGGCCGATCTTCGGACGTTGATAAATCCCGTGACATTCGAGGAATCCCGAAAGCATAGGGAACGGTTCATCTGAATCCCTGGTAGCGGACGTAGGTCGAAGATTGAATCAAGAGGCAATTTACTTTCCTCCAGCGATCGCTGGGAATCGCGTCCGCTCGGAGCACGGTAAACTTCGGCTTGCAGCTACCAAAATGTCAAGCACGAGCGAGCGGCGTATCGGGTCCTTTGTTCGGAACTCGTAAACCGTATCTCGCTCGAAGCGTCTCGGCGCTTAGGAACTGGAGCGATTCGGTTTCAATGCGGCAGAAGG